GTATAAGTAATTGTGTACCTTTTAGCTAATATTTATTAACTAATTATTATTATTTAAAATAAATTATGCAAGAAGTCTTGCTTCTTGCGAATTTCTTGCACAAGAAATCTTGTTTTTGCTCATTAGTTTCTTGTCTTGTATATTTCTTGCTAATCCACTTCTTGTCTTGTTCTTGCATGCAAGAACAAGAAGAAGCAAGACAAGAACAAGAAATACCTGCAACACTACACTTATCTATGCGCCAGTAAAGTAGAATGGGGGTCTACTTTTTGGCGCCAGTTTGCCATGTGCGCAAATTTGTCAAAAAAAATACAAACGTTTTCACTGTCGTTTTCAAAAAATAATGAAAATATCAAATAAATTTGAAAAATGGAACACATTATAAAGTTTTTGGAAGTTTATGAAGAGCATCCCTGTTTGTGGAATCACAAACTTTTGTGTTATAAATACAAGAAAAAACACGATGATGCTATAAGGATAAGTGTTGAGGTAATGTGCGAGTTCGGGTTCGTAAGAAGTTTTGATATTAACACTGCTAAAAGTAAAATAAGAAGCAGTAGAAATGCTTCATGGTCTTCATCCGCTAACTCAGACAGTAAATTATTTGATGCTCCAAGAGCTTTTCTGCGTAAAATCCGTTTTCGTACCAGATCTTGTGTTTACGTCCTTTCTTCTTGTTTTTTCGTATCTTCTGCAATTCTAGTAACAAAATTTCTATAAAAACATTAAAACCTGCTTGAACCTCTTCAGTTGACGACATTTTTCTACTGCGCCAGTTAAAAGTTCCTGATATCTAGTGGAAACAGATACTGGCGCCACAATTATTACGCCAACAAACTGGCACGTGCACTGGCACCAATAAACTATGCTTGTGGAAACGCCGCTTTAGACTGTTAGTAAACTAATAAAAATTCAGTTGAATTTGACACAGATAAATGTAAGATTTACAATGCAGAAAAAGTTATGGTAGCTATAGCTTGTTTAAATGATGGCGTTTATAAAATCAATACTTTTGATAAATGCTTATTCGCTGGCCAAGCAGGAGCTACAAGTGAAACTTTTCATAAAAGATTGGGGCGTATCAACTCAATTGAATAAAATGAAAGATGGTCTAGTAGATGGAGTTGAATATAATGATCAAGCAAAAATAACTAAAGAAAATTGCGAAGTTTGCTGCGAAGGAAAGCAGTCTCGCAAATGGGCATGTAGCCACTAGGGCCAGAGGGCTCCTTGATATAGTGCATAGCGACCTCTCAGGGCCCATGGCGACAAGTTCCATAGGTGGATCAAAGTATTTCGTGCAGTTTCAAGATGATTACAACCGTATGTCCTTTGTCTTCTTTATTAAAAATAATGACTTTTTTTTTAAGACGTTATGTGCTTAGTTGAAAAACAGCTAAGTAGAAAAATCTGGGCTGAAGCAATAAACACAGCTTGGTATTTAAGAAACAGGTCTGCAGTGCATTACATTGAAAAAATACCCTATGAAATTGAGATTGAGTCATGTTCGAATGTTTGGAAGCCCTGCCATGATCCATATTCCAAAAGAAAAAAGAAGAAACTGGGATAAAAAGTCTGTCAAATTAATTTTAATTGGTTTTTCAGAAGCTACAAACGATTACAGGCTGTATAACCCAAAAACGGGTCAAATACCCACAAGTAGAAATGTGCATATTATTGAAAAAGAACCTAAATGCTTTAATGACATGAACTTTTATAATGTAGAGCCTGAAATAGACCCTACAGAAACTACAAAGACAACCATCAATAAAGAAAGTGATCTTGGTAAAGAAAGTTTAAATTCCGAGTGGGATTCAGCAGAACAAAATATCTTCATCATTGGAAGACACAGTAGAAGATGACATTAGTGACGAAACTTATGGTCCTAGAAATTTTAAAAATATCACTCCAGAAGTCGGCACATCAGAAACTTTTAAAAAATCAGAAAGAAAAAGAAAACCGAAAATGTTTGAAGATTTTGTTAGCTATTTGGCTGTAGTTGAAAATTGTTGTAAAGAGGTTCCAGCTTCAGTGGGAGATCCAGGATTTGTGAGAGAAGCTCTTTCCGGACTGTCCGAAGTAGATAAGTGCCAATGAAAAGTGAAATTGAAAGCTTTAGTGAAAATTGTGCGTGTGATCTGGTTGACCTTCCTTCAGGTCAGACACCGGTAAAGTGTAAATGGGTCTTCAAAAGAAAAGTTAATGGTGATGGTATAGTATTACTTATAGGGCTAGGTCAGTTGCAAGGGCTTTAGTCAAAGAGAAGGAATCGATTTCGATGAAATTTTTTCCCTAGTCGTTAGACATTCATCATTAAGGCCATACTGTTTACTATTTCTGTCAAACTTAACTTAAATATTTTTCATGGAAATGCCAGAAGGCTTTAGTTGTGACGACTCGAGTAACCCAAATTATAAGGCATTGCAATTGAATAAGGCGATTTATGGACTGACACAGTCTTCACGTGTGTGATACGAAAGATTGAAATTGTTCTAAAGAATTTGAATAATAAAAAATGCGTGATTATGAGCCTGGTATCTTTGTCAAGTGTGAAAACAGTTTCACAACCATAATAGCTTTATACGTTGATGATTTTTTTATCTTTTCCAACCCTATGGAAGAAACAGTTATTCTAAAAAATCAGTTAGCTTCAAATTTCAAAATCAAGGATTTAGGTCAAATTAAGCCAAGTCTGGGCATGAGAGTTGTGATTGATAAAGAAAAAAAGGGAATATCATTGGACCAAGAACAATACATTTCACAAATTTTAGAAACATTCAACATGAGCGATTGTAAACCTGTAGGTACACTAATGGACAAAAATATTTTTGATAAGGTAGATTCCAATGTTTGTGATAAAAAACTACCCTTCAACAATTTTTAGATAGTTTGATGTATTTGTTAGTATTGACGATATCACTTTCGCTGTAAATTTCTTTAGTCAGTTCAATAATTGTTATACTGAACAGCATTGGGCACATGTCAAAAGAATGCTTCGGTATTTGCAAGCCACTACATCATATTGTTTCAAGTATATAAAAATGATGATTTAGATATCATAGTTCATGCTGATTTTGCAAGTAATGTGAATGACAGAAAGTTATATACTGGCTTCGTTTTCAAATCATCAGGGAATGCTGTCTCTTGGGAGTGTAATAAACAGAATAATGTGGCATTGAGCAGTACTGAAGCCGAGTATGGCTATCACCGAGGCTTCTAAAGAAGCTATTTACTTTAAAAATCTAATTTCAGAATTATTGGGTACTTTTGTGTGTATAACAATTTTCAATGACAACTAAAGTGCTCAAAAATTAGCTCTGAATCCTGTATGTCATAAGAGGAGCAAACAAATAGACGTACACTATCATTTCATTCGAGAGGCTATTTCAAATAAACGAGTAAACCTCAAGTATTTGCCCACCGATGAAATGCCAGCTGATGTGCTAACCAAAGCACTTTGTTTGCCAAAACATTCAAAGTTCTCTGCTGAACTAGGTTTATGTAAACATGATCATGAGACTAAATAATTTTATAATTGTTTAGATAAGTGGGAGTGTTGATATTTTACATAAACTATAACGTACTTTTTTGGCAATTACCTAATTATACTGTGTACGGCTAGTCAGCATCAATTCGGAGGCCATGGGTTTATGGGTTACCTGGATACATCTTATCTCTGTTGTAGTTCTATCAGAGTGGTACCAAAAAGGTTGCTGAAAAGAGGCTACCAAAGCCCAACTAAGAGTTTTCTAGATCCAGCCTAGAATCCGTCAGATCCTGCCTAGAATCTTCTAAATACAGCCTAGGATCCTTTAGGTACAGCCTAGAATCTTCTAAATACAGCATAGGATCTCTACATACAGCCTAGGATCCTCTAGGTACAGCCTAGAATCTTCTAAATACATCCTAGGATCTCTACATACAGCCTAGAATATTATATAACGATGTTCGTATAAAAAAAACAGATCGAGCCCCAAACATTAGAAATAATCTTACCTCTAACTGAGGAATGCTCTAGGCCAAAAGTTAAGTCTTAAACTTCCAAAAGCTGCTCGGAACGATCCTATTGAAGAAATGAAACACGTGTTGTTGGTTAATAATCCTGAAGAAAATCTCAACACTTACCGAAACAAAGTCCGAAATGAGAAATGACCAAAGGACAACTTGAGACAATGATCAACAACAATTAGTCTTACTTGAGTTTCCCCTGGCACAAAATTCCAAAAAGTCTTGCCTAAAAATAATTAGGGCCAAGACCGACCTCACAGTATCAGGTTTCAAGATCAAAAGGGGAGCTTCTTCCTTCTAGATTTGGAAAGAGGGCTTCCATTTGTCAAACTTCTAATTTTGACATTGATGAAAATTATAGAAAAGGGCGTGTTAAGTTTCATCCCAAAAATACGAACTGAAAAGTGGGTAGTGTATTAATGACTCCAGATAATCGGTGAATGTTGAAAATTACCTATAGAACCTATATCAAAAAGTAGAACAGGTCTTAAAGAAAACGCCTAGACAGCGACAGCTGTTCAATGATATATGTATAATGGTACTGAAAAATCGAAAAAAGTAAACAACGACAACTATCATAACCTCAGATTATTTATTGATTGCATTTGCCAACTAGAGATGATGGTACTCTCTCCTTTTTATAAGATTCTAATCAATAACAGCGGGCCCTGCGCTACTGAATCAAACCTTCCTAGATCAATTAACTACAATTGCAAACCTGAACCAAAAAAAACTTTTAGTAGAAGGCAGTACTCAAGGTAATAAAATCTGGGCACAGAAAAGATAGTCGTTTATTCATTTATTTCTTTATAGTTCTATATGGATCATATCCACCAGAGCAAAACAAAGTAGCATATTAGCCAATAAATTGAAAATGCTACAAAACATATTAATAAGTTGACAATTTTGTCCACTTCGACTATTGTTTCTATATTTTGACACTCATTGTTTGACATAGTAAAAGTCAGTCTTTTGCGAGTTATCAAATTAACCTCGCGTGTTTTATTTTCACCCGAAAAAGTTGAACATATTCCACATCTGCTCTATTCTCCTGATCTAGCTCCATCAGATTTCCATCCCTTTCGTCTTTCGTACTCAACCTCCATCGCAAAATTGCCGGCTTGTGAATAATATTCATGAATCAAGAAAGACACTCTACGTGAGAATATTTCAGGCTTTCTGTTTCATGAAAGCTCATTTAATATGGTATACTTTTTGTATCTACCACATAAAACAAGGAATATTGTTGAAAGGTCATTGATTAGGTAATCACCATTCTTCTAAAGAAACTAACAAGGCTGACGCCCGAAAAATTAAAACGAATTATCGTATTTAATATGTTGCTTTCATATCAAACTCAGCATTAAGTCTTCTTTTAAATTGATTAATTTTTACATTTTCAGCTGTAGTAGACGTTTTAATTAAAATATGTCAGAGTATTACAGAGCTCTCTAATTAAGATAGAAAGAAATTATAATTGGGTATTTTTTCGAGTTCAATTAAAAATAATTTAATAGGGTGCGATTGTTGCTCCGGTCCTGTTCTTGTAGATATCAAAAAAGAAATTGAACTACAACCCACGCGCGTATTCACACCTCCACTTAAGCTGCTACCGTTTGCCCGATTCACTTAATAAATTCCGTTGATGCTGAAACAGATTTGTGTAAGATTTGTCCCGATATTTCGGCCGGAGATTTACTATAATTGCCGCTTTCTTTCGCCTTTATTTTCTGCGACCTTTTTCTCGTGATTTGCCATTCCATGAGCCTGTCGAAAAAAAGAAAACTGTCCAGAATTGAAATTAGAACCTCACGAACCATAGAATAGGACAAGCTTTTCAAAAGAAATCGTGTATGAAGTTGAAAAATCAAATTTTAGTTCAATATCAACTAGGATTCAGAAATGTTTCTAATAAGACCTACTTAATTGAAATAGGTATACCTAATTCATTGCAGCAATGGGCTCTTTCACTAATTTTTGAAATTGGCATATTTGGATAAAGCAACTAAAAACAGAATTTTCTGTATTTTTACTTTTGAAAAATTCATAGTCTTTCTTGAGAAAACAGAAAAATAATAAATACCTCCAAATAAAAACCCAGAATTTATTTCTATGACGTCGCAGCTCTCAATTTGACCGTGTTGCCACTAATTGTCAACATTGAAAATTTGTAATAGATTTAATTCTGAAATGTTGGAAAAATATCATAAAAAGTAGTTCAATTAATTAATTATGGATTCAAGATTTTATAACATTTTTTTTGAAATTATGCTTAAATACAATTTAATACAATTTTTTATGTTTCGTTTTATTTTATTTTTTTACGCTGCACTACATTCAGTCACAACCGACAACAGCGCATTCGAACCTTTACGTATACTTGCTGTACTTTTACAGAGCGCAACGCAGCCGAGCCGGTCAGTTTCTTGCAACACATGAGCGAAATGGAAAATATTTATGTGTCGTCAGCGAATCGGCGCGTTTTAAATCAGTTTGAATTTGGCAATTTTCAAATGCCTGTAAAAAACTTATTTAACCTTGTAGAACATTTTTTTTTGGTATATATGCCTAAAATAGTCCCTCCTTTGGGATTTTATACTTAAATTACGTATTTAAATTTTAGTGAAAGAGCCCATTGTATCGTAACAAGAATAGACGAAACAAAGATGCGCAAAATGTGATAAGGCAAAAATAATGTTGATATGCGTGAGAAAAGTGCAATAAATTTCTCACGTTGCGACGTGCGAAGGAGTTGAAAACTTGAAAAGCAATTAAAAGACCGGTAGCTGCTTGCCCGACGACTAGGCAGCCTGCCACGGCTATCAGGAACAAAAAAGATAGTTATCTTTTTGTTTTATACCAAACGTAATGAGTCGAGATTTTAGCAGATTTGAAACGGACATTTTTAGCAGCCCATGGTTGAAATGATAAGATCCATGTGAGTTAACTTACGTAATCCTATCATTTTATTTTATTGTAGTTCTTTAAAAAAGTTAGTAAAATATTGACCAACTAAATCCCTCTAGCTCCAATATCAAATTACAAACGATTAGAATGTCCCCCATGTATCATTCTCTGGGAGCACAAAAGCAAATAGTTAAAAGGGACCCGCAACGAACAATACCAACAAAAGGGCAATACACGTGTCGTAGGGCCGGGACAAGTGCCTTCGGGGTCCATTATATCCCAATAAGACCATTTATTCGTTAAGGTATATAAAGAAATAATTGACCGTGCAGATTTGGTTGGTTAACCCCGGAAAGTATTAGTTGAAGATCTGTTTTGACATTTGTGAGATAGTGCGGTGATAAATCTTTTCACTCAATTGAATTTCGAGGTTTTTGCTTTCAGTATGTGACTAATGGAATTGTTCTGATTGAGACTGATAGAGTATTTATTGATGCTGTTAAGCATCGAATTGTTAAAAACATTGATAGGTACCCTATAACAGAAAAGGTAATGTTTATTATTAGCAGAGCTGGAGATATTGAAAATTCATGAGAATCGTGCACTTTGTGCCAACCTTTTAAAATTTGGTATAGTCTTATGCCGGTTTTCCACCAAACAGACGAAACAAAAACAAAACCCAAACTGAAACTTTTCCCAAACATTTTCAAGACTAGCGTGTTTTGAGACAGTTGGAGTTTTGTTTTGCCGAGAAAACATAACGTAGTCTGCTTGATGGAAACAAGAGTTTTGTGTTAACTTCGGTTTTGTTTTTGTTTTAAAACATGTTTTAAAACAAAAACTCAACAGTCCGTTTAGTGGAAAACCGGCATTAGGTATGGTCTTGAGGTTTTAGAAACCATTGCAAGCTACTTGTGCGAGACCTCTAGTGGCCTGTTTGCTATAAAACTTGGACACAGACATGGTTGTACTGGCCATCTAACACTTCAAACGAGTTGAATACATATGTCAGAGTTATGAATAGGTTTTGGATGGATAAAGTACCTAAAGGAAATTCAAATCCGTCATATCTGTCAACAGCTTAGACCTGAACGCTCGGAAGCCGTTCTCTTTTCCATGCTGGTGATCATCGATATCTGGAATAGCTAAAAATACGGAATGGAATGCATGGGCTGCTTTTCCTGAGGTCACTGATGCGTTCATTGACTTCACAAATACACCAAATAGTTTCACGTTGGAATCACAGCACATGTCTCATCTTGAAACCTAGACAGTTCTGTACAGTATAAACTGTGATGCAGATTCGGTTAATGATGCAAGGAAGTTATTGTTTACCCAAGGCCTAAAGGTTCTTGAATCCCTAACCCCATCACGGTTTGCTTTATTTCAACATACAAAGCGAACGCTACTCACTACCACATTCATTTGGGAATGTCTCTATCCAAATCGCCTGATAGCCCTGGAGCGGGACTCTGTGTCATGTAGAATTCTATCAGTCGACAAGATTCTACATGGTTGGCACTCAGTGCATCAAGAATATCGACAAAACGCGATTTATTTTATAATTTCATTTCTACATCTCGAGACGTGTCGAATACTACTGACGCATGTGCATTGTGAAGTTTCATGTATGACACTAACAATTGCGAAGTTGTTGTTGTTGATATTCCATATTTATATTGAGAAATAATTATTCCATTCCTATTTCTTATTTATTTAATAATATTTAATATTTTCATTAGTTTATTTCAAGCAGACGCCGCGCCGGTTTCCGATTATATTAATAATATTAATATTATCGTCATTGTCATGAGAGTGAGAAGCGAAAAACTCGGAATAAAACACAATATTGTGGTTAAAATCTTTATAATAACATTTTAGAAAATCAGTGCATAAAATGACGACGAATCAAATTATTTCTTGCTTGGACTCCTGCTTGCATAACGTTACATTATATGGTACCTCGGTACCTGAATGTTATCCCTTCGGATATGAGGTTCGGGGACCATTCTCACCTTCTCCCTTCCGAGCACTTATTATGTCTAATAACACAAACAATAACAGAGCGCCCAACTTTTTCTGGGGCATGCCTCAATACTTTTGAAGTACACACAAATCTTTGTTTAAACACACCGATACAATTTCGAGTTTGGATGTGATTTTGGCTATAATTGAACTCTGGAGTTCCTGGAGCAGTGTTTTCTCTAGGTGTCATTAGCCAGGGTTCTTCATCATGTGGTCTAATAATTTCACTCACTGTGGGTTCCATGTTCCATCGGCCGTGTGATAGTAATCACACCTGGAAAATTATTTTTTTCCATAAATCCTGTTTCAATTAGATTTTTCACATCTTGAGTCACCGGAAACTGAACCCTGATGGCTATTGATACTTTCTCTATTGCTCTGCTCTTGACATAGTTTGTAGCCACATAAATATTATAGCTTTGCCCGATTATCTCTTCAAATCTAACATCTTCTTTTTGAAAACAGTCACTGTTTTTGGTGGTTAGGCATCACTCATCACTGGATATTTTCCAGACCAATATGTTCAAGCTCATCGTCTTCAACAATATTGTTATTTAAATTATTAATGGGCAACAAAGAATAATTTCTAAACTTAAACTCAACTTTCAGGAAGCAAAAATAGTTATGGTATAAACAAGCAAACCAAATTATAACAAAAACAAACTTATTAATGACGTATACAGTCAATTCAATAAATAATATTGACTTTTCTTAGGAATCAAATAAAAATTTCCTAGAGTTTCCCCTAGATTTGTACTACGTTTTTCGAATGGTTAGTAGCATGATAAAACGATCCGAGAACGTAGCCGAACTGTTGTCGATAGTGACACAGAGTGCCGTTTCAGCCGACTATCGCTTTTGAAAATAGATATCTATTATGGAAAGCGAGCTGTAGAATTCTATAGAGCACAGAGTCCTAGAGCTGATTACAGTAAATGAGGTTATGGATAATCAAACCAAAAAGTTTCTACCCTTCTTTACTGATCTTCCGGGTACATGCCATGAATGTTCATTGCTACTTAGTTGTGGTTATTTGGTCTCATGTGCAGGCAGATATAAATGTTATTGAGCCGAGGTTCGCTGCAGCCAATTATGCAAAATTCAAGAAGGTTTTGCACAAACAACTCATATGATTTATGAAGTAACAAGTATTATGTCATTTACGTCAGATTCTATCGCATTTGTGTCAAACATTAATGTTACCCA